TGAGATTTAGCTAGCTTGGTCTACACAGTGAGTTACAAGACAGACCTGGCTACAGGGAGACCCTATCTCAAAAGACAAAATAAAAACAAACAAATTTAGTAGTAAAATGAAAAGCTTAGTTAAAAGTATTTCATAGCCGGTGTGAGAGACAGTACATGAAGGCATTATCCCAGCACGGGGGCAGCTACAGCAGGTGGATGGTAAGTTTGAGATAAATGAGGACTACATAGCAAGACTTTATCTTTAAAAACCAAAAAGGGCAGGCAAGATGGCTCAGGGTACAGTAAAGGCACTTACTGTCACGCCTTTGTGTTTGATTTAGTTTGATCTCCAAGACCCACAGAGTGGAAGGAAAAAATGACTCATTCAAGTTGTTCTCTGACCACACACAAGCTGTGCCACATACATACCTGCCCCCACTCCCACATTCACACAAAATAAACAAATAATAACAAATAAATGTAATAAAAAATGTTAAAGGGCTTTGTAGATGGCTCACTGGGCAAGAGTATTTGTGGTGCAAGTAATGAGGACCCTGATTCTAGTCTACAGCACCCACATAAAAAAAGTCAGGCATGGTTGTATTTTAAACCCAAGCACTGGGAGACAGAGACAGGGCGATCCCATGAACTCTCTGGCCACCAGCCTAGTCAAAATGGTGATCTCTAGGTTCAGTAGGACACCCTGTCTAAAAGGAGTAATGCAGAGAGCAAGAGAGGAAGACATCCAGTATGAACATGGGCCCAAACAGGAAGTGTGCACACATCACACATACACACACAGAAATGGACAAAAGTTTCTGAAATTGAGTAATGGGAAAATTGACTTAAGGAGTAAATTCCAGGTCAATTAAAATTAGCAAATACTTCACCAGGCATGGTGGTACACGCCTTTAACCCCTATACTCCAGAGGCAGAGGCTGGAGGATCTCTGAGTGAGGCCAGTTGGGGCTACAGGGAGACCCTGTCAAAAAAAAAAAAAAAGAAAAGAAATAGTGTAATTCTGTAAAAATGAACTTCTGGAATGCCATGGACACAGCAAAGCAGCCTTGGCTTCCTGGCCCAGCTAGCATCTGCTCCTCCTACTTGCCCACTCTCCAACAAAAGAAACAAAACCAACTACTGCCCTAGAAGCAACAGATTAAGTATCTACACCATAGGAGAGAGAAAAATACATGACATGGGGCCTAATATTCAAAGAATTTACAATTTTGTTCAAGCCATTTTAATGGTGTTCAGTAGCATCTCACTTTGTATTCCCCTAAATGCTTGGTAATGTTAAATAAACATCTTTTCCTGAGCTGATTTTTCTACTCTATATTCTTCTTAAAATTACCTGCTAATGCCTATTAAGTTTTTTATTATTTTCCTTACTGCTACCTTTTCAGAACACTTCACGAATTCCATCAGTCCATCAGTCCTTTACAAATACATAATTTATCTCCCTGTCTGTAATCTGCCTTTTCTCTTCCCTTTCCTTTTTTTTTTTTTTGGTCTTTTTGAGACAGGGTCTCCCTGCAGCTCCAGCTGTCCTGGAACTCACGATGTAGACCAGGCGGGCCTTGAACTCACAGAGATCTGCCTGTCTCTGCCTCCCAAGTGCTGGGAGCAAAGGCATGCGCTGCTACCACCACGCCCGGCTCCTTTCCATTTTTTTAAGAAAGGGTCAGTGGGGCTTGAGAGATGGCTCAGCGGTTACAAACACTAGCTGTTCTTGCAGAAGACCCGGGCTCAAATCCCAGCACCCACACAGCAGCTAACAACTATCCATAACTCCAGTTCCAGGGGATCTGACAGCCTCTTCTGTCCTCTTCAGGCATTGCATGACACAGGTGCACTTACCTACATGCAGACAATACACACATACAAATAAATTAAAAATAAATAAAATTGAAAAACAAAAAAGGGTCAAGGTCTTGCTAAGAAACCCAGAAAATTTGATCCTCTCACCTCGGCCTCCCAAATACTGGGATTATAGGTGTGTGCCACCAGGCCACAGCTTCACTCTTTTTGTTTATCTGTTTATTTGATTGGTTGTTGTTTGTTTTGTTGGAACAGGGTTTCACTATGTTGTCTTGGCTGGCCTCCACCTGCATCTGCCTCCTCTCCTGAGATAAAGTTGTGTGCCACCATGCCTGGCCCCAGCTTCATTCTTAATGATGTCTTGCAAGCAAGCTTTTTAATTTAATAAAGCATAAGTCATCATTCTTTCCCTTTTAAGAATCATGCTTTTGGGGCTAGAGAAATGGTTCAGCAGTTAAGAGCACTGGGTATTCTTGCAGAAGACCCATCGAACCCCGGCACCCACATGGTAGCTAACAGCTGTCTATAACTCCAGTTCCAGGGGACCCGACACCCTCGTCTGGGTGCACTTACACACATGCAGGCATAAATGCATACACATAAAATAAAAATAAATCAAAAAATGTAAAAATAGAAGAATCATGCTTTTGGTGTCATCCAATGAACTTCTTGATAAAACCAGTCTCTCATTTTCTCCAAAAAGCTTTATAGCTTTTATGTCACATTTTATATCATATTTAGATAGTTCATCTTAATTTTTGTATGATATGTAGGGTTAGGTTGAAGTTTACTATTTTTTATACTGAATTGGTATTGCAACTTTGAATGGGAAAAAGATTATTAGCTATATTTGTGTTGGATGGATAGATGGATAGATTCATTAACTGATATTGATTGATTATAGTGCTGAGGACTGAACTCAGGGCTTTGTAATTTCCAGACAAGCTCTTTACTGCTAAGTTCTCTTACCACTCCTGTGAGGGGGGGTCTATTTCTGAAATTTCTATTCTATTACATTGATCTGCAGGTCTACCCTTTTGCGAATAATACAATCTTGATTATAATAGCTTTGTATTGTTTTCATTTTGCTTATATGTTTTTAATTGACAAATATTTTATGTAAATATGCTTTCAAACATATACACATTGTGGAATATCTCAATCAAGCTAATAATGTGTTATCTCACATGCTTGATTTTGTCATGAGAACACTTAAAACCCTCTAATTTTTTCCAACTTTTTTTTTTACAAATTTTTTGACAATTCTAAGTTTTTGTCTTTCTAATTTAGAATTAGCTTTTTTGTAAGAAAATTCTGTTGGCAAGCACAGTGTATTGGTGTATATCTATAATCTCAACACTTGACGGGGGGCAGGAGGATCATGAATCAAAGGTCAGCCTGGGTTACAAAGCAAGTTCAAGGGCAGTGAGAGATCCAGATCAAGACCTACAAAGTGAGTTCACATTTTGTTTTGTGAAACAGGTTCTCACATAGCCTAGGCTATCCTCAAACTCACTATACAGACAAGGATGATCCTGAACTCCTGATCCTCCTACATCCACTCTCAAGTACTAGGATTACAAGAGTACACTTCCATTCCCAACCTTCTTTGATTCCTTTAACCAGGACTTTGTACTTCTGAGCAGAGATACTATATATATTTACTTCTGGAATTACTATTTTTAATTCAGTTTTCAACTGTTCACTGCTTGCATACACAAATCTGATTGCTTTTTGTGATCTGACCCTGCCATGTTCTTAAGTTATGTATTCCAGGAATTTCTTTGTGGATTCTTTGAGATTTTCTATATGGATAATCACATCATATACAAACAGAAACAATTTTATTTCTTTTTCTTTTGTTTGTGGGTTTGGTGGTTTCTTTTTTCTCAAAACAATTTTTCCTTGGCCTCAAACTCATGCTCTTCCTGCCTTTGACTCCTGAATGCTGGGATTACAGGAGTGTACCATTATGCCCAGCATCCTGTTTTCAATATCTATGCCATTATTTCATCAAATATTTTTGCTACACCAAACTCATTCTCTCTTCTTATCCCCAGTCTCTGGTAATACAAATGCTAGAGCTTCTGATACGGTGTTACAGGTCAAAGATGCTCTGTTTATTTTAAATCTTCTCTGTTGTTCAATTTCCACTGATATATTTTTAAATTTGCTGACTCATTTGTCAGGTCCAACCTGTTATTTACTGATGACTGAGATTCTCATTTTCCATATTTTATTTCTAAGTTTTACAAATTTCACTTTGTTCTTCTTTAGTTATTCTGTTTCTTTTGTAAGGCTCTATCTTCCTGTTCATTCTTGGAACACAGTCATAATATGATTTAGTGTTTTTGAGATAAAGCTAACATCTGTATGATTAGTATCTATTTTCTTTTCCACACGAATTTAGGTTTTTCTGGTTTTTAAGATAATTAGTATATCTGTATTCTGGACATCTTGACTTATATTATAAGACCCTGGATTTTATTTAGATCCTACCGAGAACACTTTTCATTTATTTGTTTTATCTAGTACTTGGTCCAGTGGGTTGTATTTCTAATGCCAGCTCAGTTTTCAAAGCCTTCATGATCAAAGCCTTATGGCCACATTGAATGTATTCCATAAATCCTCATGTAGAATCCAGTGTAGGATGTAGATAGTGGTTTATCTCATAATTCAATTCTCAGTGTCTGTGTGTTTTATTAGGATTAGACTCACTCAGATACAGCTTAGAAGTCAGCTTAGCAGTTCATAAACAACTTTATTTCCCAAGTTCTTCCCTCTTTGGCAGTTGTTCAGCTTCCCAGGTTCCCCTTTCTTCAGAAAGCTGGGGTTTAACACCTCTGACTGTGTTCACTTCAGGACCAAACAACAAAAGGGCAGAGACAGAAAAAAAGCAATGGAGATTTACCCTACTCTTTGTAGGCTCCATTTCCTCCTGCCTGCCCCCACAGAGGCCACAAAGTGGCTGCCAAGGATTGTTTGAGGCCTGGGTGCAGGAGAATGAAGAAAAAAAAAGATGTGGGATGTTCAATATTTTCTCTGTGTATTAGGAAGCTCCCTTCTTGCTCCTTGAGTCAGAACTAGAGGACTTCTTCTGGGGGTTTTTCTGTCCATGTTAATGCCCACTTCCATGTTTCACAGTATATTAAATTCAGGCAGGGGCATACTGGAAGGAAAAAAATAAAGTCAACTCACCGCTGGTTCAGTGGTACATTGAATTCTGATCTTCTTCCCCAATCTGCCTCCTACTATTTACTTTTCAGAGTCCTCATAAAGCCACTCCAAGCATTGTGTCCAGGTATTATAGCTGCATTCAGTGGGAGAAACAGGGTGAAGTGTGCTTACTCCATCTTATCTAGAACCAGAACCTGGACTACTGTTGTTCATAACAAGCTTTGTAGAACTGATTAAACTACTTGTACACTTTGATTTAAAAAAAAAAAAACAAAAAGAAAACAAAAAATAGTATTACCCAGAAGAGGGGCAAAACAAACCTAGCACTATCACACTTTGCTTTCTTTGGTCTTGTTTTTACTTTTTGAGACAGGGTTTTGCTATGTAGCCCAGTCTTGAATTCACAATCCTCCTGCCCCAATGTGCTAAGAGCCAGGATTACAAGTATGTACCAACACAGTTTGGATTTTTGTAAGCATTATTTTATACATATTATATGGGGCGGGGGACAGGGGGACAGAATCTCACTGTGTAGCCCTGACTGGCACTGAACTCAAGAGATATGCCTGCCTCTACTTTCCAAGTCCTGGGATTAAAGGCTTGGGCGACCAAGCCTGGCTACATATTATGTTTTTTAAAAAAGTGGAAAAATAGCAGAAATTATCCAAAGCCTAAGAAACAGAAAGTAATTTGTTGGCAAGAGACTATAAACTTTGAGAAACTTAAGAAAAAAAATCAGAATGATCAGCATACTCAGTATAAGCCTAACAGTTTCAACACAAGAGGCAGGAGGGCAGCTGGGATTCAGTGTCTTGTATATCATGTTAAAGCATATGGACCCTACTTGAAAAAGGAAGGGCCTTGAATTGTTTCAGTAAGGCTGAGGAGTAATAGATCTGATCAGTGTCTTTAAAGCCTCACAACTGTTGCAGAAAGTTAAGGTGCACAGAATCCAAGTCTTACTGATTGAATTGAAAAGGTCACATCAAACTCCAGAATAACATAGTGTTACTCCATATGTTGGGAACATATCAGGTGTGTGTGTGTGTGTGTATACATATATATACACAGATATAATTACATTTGCACTTTATGTGTATATAGACGTGACTATAATAGACTATATGTAGGGAAAAACCTCACAAGAAACTAGTAGCACTAGTAAACTGAGAAGGAAAGTAAGAGACTGTTCTTCTGTTATATTTGATTTTTTTTTTTTTCCTTTTTGGAGACAGTCTCAACTATGTAGTCCAGAGTGTCCTCAAATTCATGATCTTTGGTTTTCTGAATGTTGGAAATAAAGGCATGTACCACCATGCCCAGCTGATTCAAAGTTTTGCTATACTCTTGTGTTTTATTTTATTTTATTTTTTTTTATTTATTTATTTTTTTGGTCTTTTTTGAGACAGGGTCTCCCTGTAGCCCCAGCTGTCCTGGAACTCACTATGTAGACCAGGCCAGCCTTTTACTCACAGGGATCCGCCTGCCTCTGCCTCCCAAGTGCTGGGATTAAAGGTGTGTGCCACCACGCCTGGCACGTTTTGTTTTTTAATCATCATGACTACTTTTAATTTTTTTAAGATTTGTTAAAAAATGAAGGGATGGGGAATGGAAAGACGGCTCAGAGGTTAAGAGCACTTGTTGTTCTTGCAGAGGACCCAGGTTCAGTTCCCAGAACCCACAAGACGGCTAAAAACTGTCTGTAACTCCAGTTCTAAGGGAATCTGACGCCCTCTTTAGGCAAAGCACAACATGGGTCCACATGCAAACATGCAAGCAATACACTTAGACATTAAAATAAAATTTAAAAAATAATAAATAAAATATATTTGAAAAATGAAGGAACAGCCAGGTATGGTGGAGAATGCTTACAATCTTAGCAATTGGGAGGTCAAAGCTGAAGGATTGTGTGTTTAAGGCCTACCTGGACTACAAAGTATGACAGAAAGAAAAGGAAGGAAAGGAAGGAAAGGAGGGGAGGGAGGGAAGGGAGGGAAGGAAGGGAAGGGGAGGGGGAGGGTGTGTGATGGACGGTGCAGATGACTGAGCAGTGAGTTTCCATGGTGTGATGGGGACAGAGACCTATAGAAAGACGAATCAGCCAGTAGGGAACCCAGGCAGAAGGAAAAAAGAAAAAGAGATGCTGTGTACATGAATTGGATGTTAGATTATAAGATATTAAAACAAGATAAAATATGTAAGTCTATCATTTGAGAGCTCTGTTTCTATCACACAATTAGCACTCAAATACTACTATATTTTCCCACAAATAAGATATAAGTTCACAATCTAAATAGCTTTTCACGGTAATATAATATACTGCACTATTTAAAACAGACAAAACATTAAAGAGATGATAAAGACTAAGAACATAAATGTTGAACATATCTGTAACTACCATTACAGTCATGCATGCGTATGCGTGTGTGTGTGTGTGTGTGTGTGTGTGTGTGTGTGTGTGTGTGTTTTGCTGGGAATTGAACTCAGCATTACATATGCTAAGTACTTTTACTACTGAGGTATATTCCCAGCCCTACAGTTAGTCCATTTCATTATGAAAGAAATATGCCTGCCTATTCTTCCCAATTTCTTAAGCACCAAAAAGTGTAAAGGGAAAAAGTAGAAGATCATCTATTTCCCTGAGCTCTATAATTCAAGGTGCCTTGATGGCTTAAGTTGTATTTGAAACAATACTTTCTTCATGCATAGAGCATATATAAATTCGTACAAACAGACATGCACACATTATATTCCATTAAAGGAAATGGACTTCTGCTGCTTAAAATAATGAGATTTGTCCAATATCCTATGTACCATTTTTCTAAATCCAGATGACAGAGGAGGGGTGAGGGGAGCACAGGCCCATAACCCTACTACCTGAGAGGCTGGCAGAGGAGAATCTCAAGTTCAAAGTCATCTTAGGCAACTTAGCAAGACTCTATTTCAAAATAAAAAAATACAAAAAAGACTAGGGATGGGGCATACAGCTGAGAAGTACGGTGCTTGCCTAGCATGTGAGAGGTTGTTCTAGTTTCTTTTCAATTGTTGTGACAAAACTCTCTGACCAATACCAACTTGGGGAGGAAAGTGTTTATTTGGCTTACATCTCCCGGGTCACAGTTCATCACTGAGGACCCAAGGTAGGAACTCAGGGCAGGAACCTGCAGACAGGAGCTGGAGCACAGCCATGGAGGAACACTGCTTACTGGCTTGCTCCCCTGGCCCATGCTTAGCCTGCTTTCTCTTTTTTTTTTGTTGGTCTTTTTGAGACAGGGTCTCCCTGTAGCCCCAGCCGTCCTGGAACTCACTATGTAGACCAGGCTGGCCTTGAACTCATAGAGATCCGCCTGCCTCTGCCTCCCAACTGGGATTAAAGGCATGCGCCACCACGCCCGGCTAGCCTGCTTTCTTATACAATACAGAACAACCCGCCCAGGGATGGCACTGCCCACAGTGAGTTGGGCCCTCCCACATCATTCAAAAATTAAAAAATAAAAATAAAAATAAATCACAAAAAAAAATCCCACAGACATGGCCACAGGCCAACCTAATGGAGGCAATTCCCCAATTGAGCCTCCTTCTACCCATATGTGTCAAGCTGACAATTAAAGCTATCCAGCACAGAGGCCAAGGGTTCAATCCCCAGTATCACAAAAAGACAGACACTGACATGGGTATCATGGTATACACTTGTAATCCCAGCATTTGAGAGGTGAAGACAGGAAGATCAGTTCAAAGCCAACCTTGGCTACATAGTGAGTTAAAAACTAGTTTGGAGGCTGGGCCCACGCCTTTAATCCCAGCACTCGGGAATCAGAGGCAGGCGGATCTCTGTGAGTTCAAGGCCAGCCTGGTCTACATACTGAGTTCCAGGACAGCTGGGGATACAGGGAGACCCTGTCTCAAAAAAGACTAAAAAAAAACTAGTTTGGGCAGGGGCTGGAGAGGTGGCTCAATGGCTCAGCAGTTAAGAACACTGCTCTTGCAGAGGACCCAGGTTCGATTCCCAGCACCTACATGGCAGCTACAAACCGTTCTTAACTCCAGTTCCAGGGGACCCAGAATTCAAAGCCTTCTTCTGACCTTCGAGGCATTGTACAACACAGGTGCACTCTCACATACATGCAGGCGATACACTCATACACAAAAAATAATAAATAAAATATTTTAAAAAACTAGTTTGGGCAACAGGAGACCCTGTCTTTGAAAAAAAAAAAGGGGGGGGACCAATGAAAGGCCTCAATGGGTAAAAGTGCTTGCTACTCAAATTGGACTACCTGAGTTGAGACCCTGGAACACATGTGTGCTGGATAGCTTTAGTGTCAACTTGACACACCTGGGTTGGGCTGAGGGCGCCTCAATTGGGGAATTGCCTCCATTGGACTGGCCTGTGGCCATGTCTGTGGGACATTTTCTTGATTGTTGAGTGATGTGGGAGGGTCCAGCCCACTGTGGGTGGTGCCACCCCTGGGCAGGTGGGCCTGTGTTGTATAAGAAAGCAGGTTGAGGGGCTGGAGAGATCGTTCAGTGGTTAAGAGCACTGACTGCTCTTGCAGAGGGCCCGGGTTCAATTTCCAGCACCCACATGGCAGCTACGAACAGTCCTTAACTCTAGTTCCAGGGGAATCCAATGCCCTCTTCTGACCTCCGCAGCACTACACGACATAGGTGCACTCACATACATGCAAACAATAAACATATACACATTAAAAAAAAAAAAAAAAGAAAGCAGGTTGAGCAGGGGCCAGGGGAGCAAGTCAGTAAGGAGTGTTCCTCCATGGCCTGTGCTCCAGCTCCTGCCTCCAGGTTCCTGCCCTGAAGTTCCTACCTTGGGCTCCCTGATGAACTGTGACTCAGGAGATGCAAGCTGAATAAACCCTTTCCTCCCCAAGTTGGTATTGGTAGTAATATTTTGTCACTATTTCCAGAAGAAAAAAAAGAAAAGTACAGGGTGAAACAATCAAAAGAGTAAATTATAGATGTATAAAAAATAAATACGGGTGGGCATGGTGGCGCACGCCTTTAATCCCAGCACTCGGGAGGCAGAGGCAGGCAGATCTCTGTGAGTTCAAGGCCAGCCTGGTCTACATAGTGAGTTCCAGGACAGCTGGGGCTACAGGGAGACCCTGTCTC